AATCTCTATTAATTTAACCGGAATTCAACGTAATTTAAGAAAGAACAAGTAATCTTAAGCAAATGAACATTCAAATTCAGCAATGATTCGTTTTCGTGTGTTACAGCCTACATTATATGAACATTGGTGGTTGATCAATGAAGCGTGTACTTTGGAGCGTTCCATTGCATCTATAGTGAATGGATGAGATTGCAAGCTTATAAGACAGCATTGAGGAGATTTTATTTGATTTTGGATCGGGAAACATTTTGATTGCCACGAAATGTTTTGCAATAGAGAAATGATCACAAGAGGTTTGCGAGAAATAAGTTGTTTGTGAAAAGTAGTGAACTGATTGTGAGATGACTGACCAAAATGCAAAAAATCCAACAGCAATTGATAAAGCTAACTTTAAACGTCTGATTGGATTTGCACAAAAGTTGGAAGCGAAAACTGCGGAATAACGAAACACACAAAAAAACAATGCAATCCAAATGAACAATAGTAATAATGATTAATTAGTGCACTAAACAACGTTATTGTTAGATGATAGACAAAAGCTGGATTATTTTCGGCAATTCACCGCTATAATCAGCTGAAAAAATAAGATGTTTGCAATTGATTTCAATAAATACCAAAAAATGAATTTATCATCATTTATTCATATTAGAATAAGTTTGAATTTACATGAATGTATTTCGACACCACACGAAATGTGAACATTTTCAGTTCAGTTGATAATATTTTTGTGTTGTTGGAGGGTCGTCGTTCAGTTGGGCTTTTGAACGAACAGTTTCTGTGGCAATCGAGAAGAAATCCGTGAAAATGGGTAAGCGAAGAGGTAACAGAACTGAACCGTTAATACCAAAAAGCCTCAAGGCGAATATAACTTCGAAAATGCGCGAAGAGAAAGATGCTGAAGAAATTTTCGAGAATGCATTTGTGTCGGTGAGTTTTCTTGTGATTGCAATAGCACTCATAAGTGATCTGAATCGACGCCATCGATGGTATTCTAGAAGCAATAAAATCCCTGATTAAATCAGGAGTAGTCATCAAAACATCCCAAAGCTATTAAATCACAGATCAGGACTAGTTATCGCATGAAATATTGTTCTTGCATACTTGGTGCAATAGTATAACCGCAAATACCCTCAACTTTGCTGCATTAATGCTATGGAAAAAAAGTTTTGACTGATTCTTTGGTGACTGATTCTAGGGTTTCTTCAAAACACCAAATTCAAGAAGCCCAGATCAACGTTTATCTATTTAATCAGCAGTTATAACTGATTACAAGTGTAATCCTATTGTTATCACTAAGCAATATCAGATTCTCGTCTTTTTCTCCTCTTAATTTCCACGTATCAATAATCACTCAATCTAGCACACATGCAATAACCACTTTGCAAATATTGAGGAAAATTTGATAATTGAGCAATTGAATATCAACGCTTTTAGAAAGATGACAATGAGATTAGCAAAAATAAATCGACAGTAAAAAATGAAGCAAAAATTGAGCGTCAACAAAGGGATATTTCATTCACGGATTTGGATGATCAGCACACCTTCGATACGGATGTAATCAACACGTATTCACAAAGTTCCGGAACGATTTCGTACGATTCAAGGAATTCCTCTCGACTGGACATTGCAGACGAGGACAGGGTCACCATAAATAACAGTATTTTACGGAAAATCTATTTGACATCAATTTATCATAACGCGAATTATTACATCACAGTAGTAATTCTATTATTGTTACTCATATCAAATTGATTGTACATCGTAATCGCACACATCAATGTATGATCAACACAGGCTCATAGCCGTTTTCTGAACTGATATCCATGTTATCCATGCAATCAAATGAAAACTGAACAGTGTTATTGAACAGGTGATAAGATACGATAGAAAACAAGAACCACTCAGAGGGCAATTGGAAAAAGTGTTCGATGAAGTTCAAAAACCTGAATTGCGCATCGTAAATGATATCCAAATGACTAAAATGATCAGTGGGAAATTTCTGAATATTCAATCGAAGCAGATTGTACCTGATGAGAATATCTATGCAAATTATGAAATAGAACAATCGAAAAAAGTTAGTTTCACTTCATTCAGTTAGTAAAATCAGTCTGAACAGCTTACTG